GAAATCCTGCTCGCTCAATACAGTGCTGGCGGTATTGTCTCATTACGAGGACAAGAGCCAGTTTTCGCAGGAAGTACGAAGTACCAACACGGTACCACACAGAGAGAATACGGAACGGATCATACGGGCAATGGAAGTAAACCTGCCGCTGGCACCGGTATCGGCTTTAGAGCTACCTATCAAAAACGATTCGAAGCTACGACGCATGTTTTCAGCAACGGTGGTGGCCGGCGCCCACTGCGAGGCATGCGGGTGGGCCCTGCCAATGGAGGAGGCGTATCCTTCTCACGCGGAAACACGGCAGGAAGAATCCGCCATCATCACCTTGCAGCCGGGAAAGAAGGCACCAATACACCTTACGCAAACGTTACTGATGCAACAGTACCGGTCCACATGGATATTTGAGGAACACGTACGCACCGGAGAGCAGCTGGCACGCCATCACCCATCGTGGGCAATGACAGCCACCCAATCGCGGAAATTCTACGACGCGGTGGCACTGGAGTTTGGCCACTGGGACAAGCAAGCGATGGGGGTGGAGGAGGTCCCGTTTGTGATTCTCCTACCGCATCACAACGGCACGGCGGAGTATGGACTGGTGGGACTAGTGGCCACCAACACCCAAAACCACGTCGTCGCCTACATAACAAGCGCTCTACATAGGGACACTGAGTGGGTCATGATCGATGGTATGGTCCAAAAGGTGCAGCGGCGGCCCATTAACACCCACAAGGTAATTCTTTGCCTCTACCGGCGGCTTATGCCAGAAACGGGACTGGAAGAAGATGGGGAGGATGATGAGCAAGAATTGCACACGCACAAAAGGGAGCGGAACGGCCGTACTCTAGTTTCTGCGCCCAAGGGCTCACGCCATTTCCAATCACAAAAATCGGAAGAAGCCCAAGATGACTCCAGTATGGAGGACGGTTTTGGTAAGAATGGATATGGGCAACCGCCAGGCAGTGCAACTCATTTCAGTCCGCTAGCTTCGTCGTTACCTTCCACCCAGACGATCACACAGGATTCATTCCTAACGCCTAGCGCCCCACGAAAGCGAGGCAGGTGTGGGACGGAAAAGGAGGTTGAATCAGAGGGAGGAGGCAACAAAGGCAGGGGGTTTGTCTGCGAAGAGGACGCGGGAGGAATCTTACAACCGTCAGTTCCCCCAACATCGTCCCAACCAAACCAGCAGACACCACAAGGCCAATTCCTAAATGAGAAGGAAGAAGAAATAACAATGAGGCGGGCACAACCTCAAGAGACACCCTACAATAATAAGAATGAGCCGCCACCACACCAACAATCATCTCTTTCCCAGAAAGAAGAGAAGAGGGAGGAGGAAGGCGTGGGAGACGAAGAGGGGGAATTATTAACACCGCAACACACTACAGGTCAGGAAGACAGCAGACACCCTTTTTCACACAAGACAACTGAGTTGCCTGATCCCGTGTGGTGCCTGGCAGGTGGGTGCCACCACAACTTCTCGGGACCGCGCCGTGGGGAACACCCACGATCGCATATTCATGCAGTCCACCGGAAGCAGGTGCGGATGGACATTACCAATGAAGCGCTTATCTCACAAGGACTGGTTTGGTGTGACGCGTGCGGGGAAGTTTGCTTGGCCAGCCAGCGAGCACGAGCAGCGCATCGACCACGCTGCGGCCACCACACATGTCGTAAGGAAAACCTGGCGACACAGCGGGAGGAGTACCGTGCGTCTGTTACCGTATCACACTATAACAAGACGGCGGCGTGTCTGGAACGGGCACACTCCGTGGAATGGCCGACGACACCAGCCACAAACCCGCGGCACGACCCGTGGCTGTAGGAAAGAGTGCTGATGAGACGTTACCTCCACAAGTGCGAGTGGCCCAACTGGCTGGATGTATGCCGCACAGCCATGTTGGGATACAACGCCTCGGCGCCGGACGAACGAAGCCGCAAACAAGTGGCCATCATGGACCTTGTGCGACAACACTTACGACTGCCGGAGAAACAGCGTAGTCGCCAAGCCACCCGCACCAACCATGACAAGCAGCATAAAACCGATCCTCCACCCGACCATTACAACAACACGACAGTGGTGCGGGGTGCTATGGAGACCACGAAAGACGGGGAGGAGTCGGTCAGCGATGAGAATGAGCAACAGGACCCAACCGCACACCAGACAGAGCGCATACTCACCGCGTCAAACACATACAAGGCGAGATGCGCAGAGACACTGTGCACACTGCAGGCAACGGGACGCGCAGCAGCGCTCCTCACGGCGGCGGAGGCGGAGCCGGTGGTTTTCTCCCCCGAGCTGGTACAAAGCCTTGACGACTTCTACCCACAGGAGGACACAAGTCTGTATCCCGAGCCCGCCGTCAGTGCACTCTTGGTCACGTTCGACAGCAAGGACGTGGCCAAGATGATTGGGAGCCGCCTAACGCGAGGCGCAGCACCGGGTCTTGACGGCTGGACACGGGAGCTACTGTACCCCCTCACGAAGGACAAGGCACTCCTCATGGCGATCACCGCCATTTTGACGGACATGGCCAACGGAAACGTGGCCCCCGAGGTGGCACACCGCCTCAGGGCAACCAACCTCACGATGCTCCGGAAGCCAAACAAGAAGTTCTGCCCGACCGGCGCCGAGTGCGTGTGGGCAAAGGCCATATCCCTCATGGCGGTGGACGCGGTCATGCCAGCCCTCACAACCTGCCTTAAGAACCTGCAGTATGGTGTCGGCAACAACATAGAATTGGCGATTGATAAGGTTTGGCAGGAATTCCACATCAAGGGCGGTGTGGCCATGCTGGACGGCCGGAATGCGTACAACGCCATCAGTCGCACGGCCATCCTATCCGCCGTCTATGGGAACACCACATGAAGCCCACTGTGGCGGGTCACACGACTGCTTCTGGGCACGGAAGCGCTGGTGGGCTTCTACGAAAAGGGACAATTGGTCCACTCGCGGAAGTCGATGCGGGGAGTGCGCCAAGGCATGGTGCTGGGACCGGTCTTTTTTCCATCGGCACCATTGCCACCCTCCGCCAACTCGAAAGCAGCTTCCCCAACGCCAGCTTCACGGCGTACCTGGACGACGCCACGGTGGCAGCACCACCGGGCATGCTTGGAAAGGTATGCGAGGCGACCTCCAGAGCGATGCGTGTCCTGAGCATCGAGACAAACGAGGACAAGACGGATGTCCTCAATAAAGGGGGACCAGTGGACATGCCCGCAGAATACATTTGGCCGTTTGCCCGCGTGATGGACGCGGGAATAGCAAACGACCCAGAGAGCGAGCTAATTACACAGTTTGTGCAACTCAAGGCGGAGGAAACCGACCGCCTGTTCCGAGCAATTGTGGAGCTTCTATTTGCAAAGCATACGCAGTGGCGGCTCCCATCGGTGCCGGCACTGCCACGCGTGACGTTTTTCCTACGGACGCACGCCCCAGTACACACGAGAGCAGCGGCAGAGTGGTTCGACGACCGCGTCACAGGCGTGCTGGGCATCATCATGGACGGACCCGTTACGAAGCGCGCACGCGACATTGCGGCTCTCCCAGTGCGCCGCGGAGGGTGCGGTCTCCGACGGCAAGGGGAGATTGCGGAGTTAGCCTACTTGTGTCTTGGAGAGAAGGGGAAGCAACGCGCCCTGACCGACGAGTTGGATGCAAAACACCAGAGCGACCTTTACGAAACCCTGCAGGGTCCTGATCGCAAGGTGTTCGTGTCCAACACGGCGGCAGGCGCTGGAAGACTCCTCACGGACCCGCAGGTGCATGCGGACGACAAAGGTTTTTCCACCTACCTACGGGAACGAATACTGATGCGCGTGCTGCCGGAGGGACAGAAGTGCGTATGCGGGGCAAACGCATCCAACGGGCATGTGCATAAGTGCACGCGACTCCAACAAAACCTGCGGACCACACGCCACGACATGATCAACATGACGTTTGCAAATGGGTTGCGACTATGCGGATTCCAATGCGGCATGGAACCGCGTCTGACGGAGGCGAGCCGGCGGCGACCGGACATTCTCATCGTGGGACTCGACACGTACGCGATCACCGACGTGACCGTCACGTACGCCGGGCGGGTCACCGCATATGTGTCAGAGGAGTCCATGGAAGAGGCAGACCCACTGCGCGCGGCACGGGATCGCCCCACGCAAAAACGACAAAAGTACCGTCATTGGGCCCTGGCCAACGGGCTGGACTTTGAACCATTCGTCATGCTGACCAACGGGGCAATCCACTCGGCAAGTCGGCGGTGGCTGAGGCGGATCTTGGGCAATCAGGACCACCGACTCACCATCACGAATGCGTATGATTTGATAGTGGCGGACACCCTGGCGGCCATGCTGCGTGGAAACGTGCGCGTCTTCGGCGCAGCGTGCGGCCGCGCGGGGCCGGGGCAAACGCCCCGGGTAGGCGAGTGCCCGGGCGACTCCTCGGGCATCGTTAATTTGGTTTTGTCAAGAGAAGTAAACAAAAGTCACAGAGGTCAAAAAACAAGAACACGGAAACAGAGACACACACACACGAACTCACCATCCACAGAAAGCAGCGAGAATTGTACCAACGAACGAAAAGCAATGCAGAGGTAAATAATATTCCAAAGCCGTTCTTTGGAGAATCCACAAACGTGGATCACTTTATCGTTTTTTCTTATTGATCAACAACAAAAAAAGTCCAAATGATGGACAGTTGATCACTACGTTTGTTACCGCAAGTCGCCGCTCCAACAACATAGGGTCAAGAGGGGCTTCTCATACTTGTGGAACAAAGCGCCCAATGAAGGGGACGATCGACGGGTTTATCTTTGTTGTTTTCTTTCACCCCTCCGGAGGCAATGCGTCCTTCTCCTCCCCTCTCCGAGTCTGGTAATTTATTTTTGGGTCTGGCAATTATTTCTGGTTGTGTTGCTGGGTTGGGGTTGAGCGGAAATGGGGGCCATGGGGTTGGTCACAGAGTAGTTGCGATTGGTCGGGCATCTATTCGGAAAAAAAAATATTGATAGAGTTTCTGTACTATATTGGTACGCGAATCTTCCATTTCAGCTTCTGGCAGTTAATGTTTGGTCAATTTATTTGACCCGGGTCTACTGAACTTTATATATATACATATATATATATATATATATGTGAGCCCTGTACCCTCGTGCAGCTGCTTTCCAGTTTCCCTTCCAGTGTTGCACTGTCCCCCACGTTCCGTGTCCTCCACCTCTTTCCAGCTCTTTCATTTTTGTTTCATGGCTGCTTTTATTTGCCCCTTTATTGTTTCATGTTTTCTCCTTCTCGTTCCTTTTATTCCCCCCTTCCTCCACGTATTTTACACCTCTTCCTGTGTTTTCCAGTGCTTTTGTGTTTTTTCCTTCTTTTTTGCTTTGTTCACTCACTCGTATGCAGTTGCCGTTCCACGCTCACCATTTGTGTCTTTTCCGGCCCCCGACGCCGTCCATGACGCCAACCCGGGGCTGACGTCCCAGACCGTGACCCCTCCCCAGTGTGGCCTGGGAGGGAAGGGAAACTTTTGTACACAGGCCTTGGTGACCGCGTACAACCCCTCATCGAATTTGAAAGCGCTTTCGGCACAAACCCACTCTCGCTTGGCGTCGTTGCCGGCGCGGACTCCGTTCAAAACTCAGTCCTGTGGAATTTTTTCGGGTTTCTTGGTTTCGAAAATTTTTCGAGCAATCCGCGGGGAGGTGCTGCAATTTTTTCACCGTTATTTTGACACGAGTTCAAACCCTGCCTGGCAAAAGAATTTTTTGTCTTTGTCCTAGTTTTCAAAAAATCTGCAAAAAAATATTGTGTTTTCTTTATTGCTTTTTGACTCTGTTTCAAACCCTACTCGATAACAATTTTTGTGTTTGGACTACAAATACGTCATATAAAAAGATACAAGAGCTCCTTTTACTCCACTGTGATCGGTGTTACGTGTTTGTCTATTTGGTAACAAAACTATTTGTAAATAAGTAAAAAACAACAAAAAAAAAAAAGAAGAGAAAA